CAAAAGCAAGAGAAATAATTTTTTTATTTTTTTTAATAAACTCAATAGCAACAAAATGAAAAAAATCAAAAAAAAATCAAACAAGTAGAAAGAGAGTTAGAAATGCTCAATCAAGAAGCTTTGGCAATTCTGCAATTCGCATAGTAGGCTCTCTGGAGATAGTGAATTTGTGAATTTTCTAGCAGCCAATCCACATGATAAATTCCCCTGAAAATTTTGTGAGAAACATGATAGATATACAGAAAAATTATATAAAAATTTCAGATTAAAAATCCTTTCCAATCGTTCCTAGAATTTTTCACAAGTTGGTCCACAGGTCTGGAGAAACAGGATTTCGTCCAGAAGACCTTCAGAGCTTCTAACAAACTTTCAAATAGGAAAATGGAAAAATTGAAGAAAATCCTAAACACAAGAAACAAATATAAGACAGTGATAAGAAAAATGAAACTAGAATCAATCAATTTGAACGCACAGAGAGGGAGATATGAAAACTCAAAGTTGAAACAGGGTTTTAAGAATCCTCTGTAAAGGCTCTCTGGACCTTGTTAAATTGTAAAATTTTCACAGGACACATCCCACGTCCAAAATTGACCAAACTAATTTTCAAATGAAGCTAAGATATAGACCTTTCAAAGAAATAAATTTCAAGTTTCAATTTCCTCAGATTCGTTCCCAGTTAATTTTTTAATTTCAAGCAAAGATACTAGAAACAGAGTATCATCAACTCTACACCAAACCAACGAAAATTGCACTAATTTCTTTTTTCTTTTTTTTCCTAAAACAGAACAAAAACACTCAAAACACACAAAAAACACTAAACAAAACACAAAACACAAATTTTTATAATTTTTCAAAAAATTTTCCAGGAACACTAAACATGTAAATTAAGTACTAAACAACCTTAGAATTAAACTTAAACCATTCCCCGGCAATGGTGCCAAAATTTTGATAGGAAATTAGTCGCTTATCCTCAAAATTACACTAAAGCTAACCCTAATGCAATATAGGGCCAACCCTAGGTCATCTCCTAAGGAATGGTTTTAAGTCTAATTGAAAGTTATCTAGTGAAATAAATTAACTAAAGTTTGTAGGAATTTAGTTACCTAGCTAATTATCTAAACTAATTACCTAATGTGCAAGTAATTAAAATGCTAGTGAAAGTGAGTGAAATGAACTTCCTTTTCGTAATAATTGAACCCTAGAGATTTGTTGATTTTGGATTCATTATCTTCTCATGATTAGGCTAAGTTTAGCTTCCTTTCCTCTTGACTAAAGCTGTCATGACTTAAGAAAATTATCCAAAGCCAATTAACCTAATTAGCTAACCTCTCTAGGTCTTAGATTAAAGTCCCTAGTTTAATTAACCAATTGGTGAAACATTAGCCAAGTGATTCACTCAAAATCCTCTCTCAACAGCCATGGTCAAACACATAAATTGAGCAACCACAAGATTATGTCAAGCTACCCAACAACACAAGCATTAACACCACAAGATTATGCAATATTAACACAAGAAATTCACTAATTAAAAAACACAAGATTATATGCCAAACAAAGAGTGGCAAAATTCAGTCATGACTGTCTAAGGAAGAAATTAAATGAAACAATCCTCTCTTTTTACATCAACATCAAATTCAAATTAGAATTTATAAGCTAAGATGATTAAACCCTAGATTAAGGAATCTAACCATCTAGTAAAAAGAGAAGAGGATAGGAAACAAAAGAACTTAGCCAATTTGAAGCTTAAGATTCATCCTCCATCTTCATCTCTTTAGGATTCCACAAAGAAACTTAGCCAATCTTCATCTTCAAGAACCCTAGTGATTGCTTGTGAAGGCCAAACTCCATAGCTCTTGAATGATGGAAATGAGCTTCAATCCTTGTGAAAATGGAAGGGATGGAACGAAAATGAAGAGAGGAGAAGAATGGTATGAGTTTTGTGGAGGTTTGGTGGCTGAAAATGGAGGTTAGGGTGCTGGAAAATGAAGAACAAAAAGAGAAAATGAAGAACACTATGAACAAGAGAGAGAGAATGTGGAAGATGAATGAGATGAGTGTTGGATCCCATTTGGGGTTTAAAATGGCGTGCTCCTTGGTGTTTCCCATTAGTTGAAGCTTAATAAAAAAAATTAAAATGTAAATGGGAGCCTAGTTCACACTTGCAAGTTGGCAACTTCTTATTGGTTTGTAGATGATTCTAATGTGTGCCTAATTTTCCATGTGTCATCCACATCATTTCAGCTGATTTAATCCCTCAAAATAATCATAATTCATGTGCAAACCATCAGCCATTGACCTCAAGGAGTGTTGACCTCAATTGCCCAATTGATGCACAAGTCACATGCCACCTATGTCACATCAATCACATAATTCATTTAAATAGCATATGATATAATAAAATCTAATTCATGTCCAGAATTAAATTAATAATTAGAAGGGAGAATTTATCAAATTAACTAAGTTTCAGGCTGCACAAAATTATATAAAAAATTTCCACACAAAGGCAAACCAAAAACTAGGACAAACTAAGACACTTAAGAAAGTGTTAACTTTTTTATTTAATTACTCCCAAACTAAAATGAATTTTAAAAATATAATTTCACCACTCATCAACTGGACATAAAATGCACTTGTCAATTTTTCTTGTACATTTTCTCAAAAGTTCATTTTTTTGACCAAAATGCCCCTAGTGTATTGAACCTAGAAACTTAGGCAAAATTACAAATCCAATGCAATGTGTGCACTTGAAGGTGATAAATCATTAATAAAAGGGTCCTAATTGACAAATAAAAGTGGGTAACAAATGTGTTTTATCACATATCATTGTCCTTTGCCCCCATACTCATCACACACATAGCACCATAACCTCTCAAGTTTGATGTCGTTCTTTGCTCCTTAAACACATACTTGAGTTTGTTAGTTTGGATGAGTTATGCCATTGCCCTCTACCTCTCTCTCATATGGTGAACCATGGTTTAGTATAGGAATGGGCTTTGGGATTATATTAAAATTGGTTTGAGGTTGTTGAATAGAGGAGCATAGGTTTATGACTTTGAGCTTCAAGTAAACTTTAAGTATTAGGATTGGCTTGGTCTAGAGTTTGAAAATTGCCTGAAGATTAATTATGCATGGCATGGTCTATTAATTGTGTTGGGCTTTTCTAATTGTTTGATGGGGATCTAAAAAATTTCAAAAGGAAGAATGTTAGTTTGCTGTACTCCAAATGCTTTGGCATTTTGAAAATTGTTTTGAGATGGAGTTAGGACTATGTTGAATGAAACTAACTAGTTGGGCTGGTTTTGTTATGTCATTTTGCATTTATACTAATGTGCCGATCTCGTATTTTGTCAAAATTCTTTTTTTAGTGTCATTAAGGCAATTACTAATGATTGTCTATCTTATTTTGGCTGTGGAGTATGCTGTGGGGTGTGAATTATTTTAGGACTGTGATGTGCTCTTTCTAAAAATTTATGTAGGCACTATGAAGATTAATTTTGCCAATAACAATGGTAATCAGGCTTGAATGATGATGTTTGGTGAAGATTTAGAATGTGGTGTTTAGTCAGGGAATTTTAAGCCTTAATGATGTTTAAGTTTAGGGGATCCTTTTAGGTAGTTTATTAGTTTTTTGGGTCTTTTCTTTTGTATTTGTTTATGCTTAATATGTCTCTATGTTGTGTGTATTTTATAGGATTATGGCACTTAAGAAAAGAAACTGCTCTCGTCATCCTTTCAAACCCACTCCTATAAAGATGAGAGAAATAACCACCTCTAGGAAGTTGGTTTTGTTGGATAGGGAGGCGTAATGAAAGATTAAAAATTTAAAATTCCTATCTTAATGTGGATCAAACAAATTTATTTAAGTCAAGGTAGATAAAAGAGTTACCTTTTATTTCTCAAACTTCACATGCATTTTCTTCAAGAATTTAGATCTCAAGAGCTAATAGAAATAGATCTGCTCCTTTTGTCACTATCCACATAAACAGCTCTCTAACTCAAATAACGTGTTAGTGCTCGAAACATCCACCTATTTTGAATGTTGAACTCCTTTTTCTCTAAGGTGTTTTGTGACTCTCACTGTATTTTGCTGTTAGGACTTTTCTGACTATCTCACACGAAGCATGTTCCCTTATCTATCATTTATATAGATTAGGGTTCTAGTCTTCTTTTAATGAGCTAACAAAAATTTAATTAAATTTATCTCAAATTTAATCTTTAATATCATATCTAATTTGAATTTAACTCATAAATTTAAATTATTAAACTGATATAATATTCCCTCATATCATGTTAGTTATCAAATTTAATCGTTAGATAAAATTAAATTTAAAACTAACACTAGATAATATGATATGATATAATGTATCAAATATACATATTATATTATATACATGTATACATAAAAAAAAAACACACACACACACACACACATTTCAAATATATATATATATATATATTATATTTTAAATTTTATATATCATATACAAACATCTATATATCAAATATATATACATGAACATATCTATAATTATATTTTACATTTTATATTATATATATATCAAATAAATATTCAAAGTTATATATGTATATATACACAAAATTCATTCACCCTAAATAAAATATTATATTCATTGAATTTAGACATATTTTGAATATTTATTATATATATATATAAATTTGAATATTTTTGCTCAAATTGAACTGTTTTTGTGTGCGACCTATATATTTAGAGAGCAATGAATAAAGACATAAAAATTAATTTCAAAACATGGTAAAAATATAGAGAGCAACTACCTATATATTTAGTCCCAACGTGCAATCCTTCTTATTTTAAGTTTTTGCTAAAAAAATTTGGCTTGATAAAAAAATTCTTATTTTAATTTGCTAATTTATTCCAAAGCTGATTTAGACTTTTTTTTTTTGTTTCATACCCAAAAAATAAAAAAATAAATAAAATTGGGTGACCCTGTCCTTCCCCAAATTCACCGATTATTGTTTTGTGGACAATATTCACGCGCCAGCAACAAGGAACCGAAGTCCACAAACACTGCGAGCAGAAGAATGAACGTGCCTCTAACCCCACTACACTATGGCCACACCCCAACTCCGCCACCATCTTTTCGTGCTTTTCCCGCCGTTTGTGGCAGTTTCCGGCCGCCAAACCCCACCGTGTCATTCCGGCCACACTCTCTCAAAACGTCGAAATGCATAAATTTGGCCGTCAAAGCTAATGAGCCCCACAAATGGGCAATTCAATTGAGTTTAGTCGAAGAGAGTCCCTCCAAATCAACTGTTGAAATCGAGAAGCTCGTGGGCTTTCTTTATGATGATCTTCCTCATCTCTTCGATGATCAGGGTATCGATAAGACGGCTTACGATGAACGCGTCATCTTCCGTGACCCCATTACCAAGCACGATAGTTTGAGTGGATACCTGTTTAACATAGCTCTCTTGAAGACACTCTTTAGGCCTCAATTTCAGTTACATTGGGTCAAACAGGTTTGCTTCGCTATCCTCATTTCTAATTCGTAGAGTAGAGTTTAGCCCCTTTTGTTTCAACGTAAGAAGCACCAGGTACGAATATCAGACATACGAGGATATGATATCCAAGATTAGTGTGCTTAAGTTATATAGTTTTCTTTATCCCAAAGAAAGTCATATAGTTTCTTATGTACTGGTCAGCCTCAATATCTTCATTTCTAATAGTGTAGATTATAGTTTGCCCCTTTTGTTTTGACCTAATATCAGTTTGGCGTTTTGCTCAGAAGCTGTAATTCGAAGCTCCTGCGGTTTACCTCCATTCAGCTGTTTGAAAATGATGAACAGTTCAGTATATTTCTGTTTCACTAGTATGTTTTCACTTCAATATTTTCATAGTGATACAACTTCCAAGACGAATGCTTAATTGACATTTTTAACTTCAATTTTTTTAAATAATAGTTACTGAAATTATTTATGAATAAAGGAAGGTATATTTTCAGAAATGGAGTTATTCTTTATTTTAACTTTCAAAGTGCTCAATTTCCTTCCCCTTATGGGTTCACTGTGGTTTTACCTGTAATTTTATTTTATGTGTATTTTAATAACGGTTCTGCATACTGTTAATCTTGGACTGATTGGATTTCTATAGACAGGACCATGTGAGATAACTACAAGATGGAGTATGATTATGACATTCATGCTTCTTCCATGGAAACCAGAATTAGTGTTTACAGGAACATCTGTTATGGGAATTAACTCAAAAACTGGCAAGTTCTGTAGCCATGTGGTAGGTATCGAGAATCAAGAAGTAAAGAAATTAGTTGTTCTAGTTAGACCATAGTGCCTGTTCGTTTTAGGAAATAATTATTGTCCTCTCTCAATTTTCAAGGATTTCTGGGATTCAATAGAGAAAAATGACTATTTTTCTTTAGAAGGTTTATGGGATGTATTCAAGCAGGTGCCTTCCATGACATTTTGTTATTTGACTTGTATAATCATTTTCTTATAAAATTATCTTAAAATCTATTCTAACTATAGAGTTTTGACATGCTGCAGTTGCAGATCTATAAGACTCCAGACTTGGAATCACCCAAATATCAAATATTGAAAAGAACAGCAAATTATGAGGTCTATTTAAATTTTCACAGATACAAGTTTCTTTTCTTTTAGGTTGCATTTGGATGAGTGGATTTGAGTTGGGAATTTGAATTTGAATCTCACATTTGAAATTCATAAATTCTAAATTCTTTGTTTGGATGATATAAAAAATTTTAAATTATAATATTAGAATCCTTTGTTTGGATCTTAAATAAAATTCAAAATTCAAAATTTTATATTTGAATTTAAAGGCAACTCGGACAACTTGATGGTGGGTTGGACTTGAATGATGACACCAAACCATTCACTGTTAACAGCAACATTTGGAACCGGATGATGAAGGCGGACAAATTGAAGATAGTGATCACAAACCAATCTTGGATGGTGATGACATGCAGCATATCAACACTTGTTGAATGCAACTGACCAGCATTGGATGGCAGTCATAGACCGACGCTAGACCGGCATCAATTGATGACGACAAGAAATTGGCATTGGGTGGCGGCGGACGGTGGTTGAAAATGAATTGAAAATTGAAATTCCTAAAACCTGATTGACACTGATAGTCTCGTCCTGGTTGAAGTTGGTCGTTTGACCCTAATCGGCGTCAACGGTCTAGTCCTAGTCCCAATTGGTGCCAAAGGTCTAGTCCCGATTGGTGCTGGCTGTCTGGTCCTTTGTTAGCATCTGCTGTTAGGTGCTGGTGGATGTCGGTGATTCTATCCTAATAGGCATCGGCATTTCGGTCTTGGTCATTGCTTGCGGTTCGATCCCTATTAAAGTTGGCTGTCTAGTCCCAATCGGCATCGGTGGTCTGGTCCCAGTGAAAGTTAGCCGAAGGTAGCGATGTCGAAATTGAGAAGGTAGCAAAGTGGATGAATAAACATGAAAGAAGAGAAAGGCTTCCATGGAAATTTGAAATAATAGGATTTAGAAAGGATTTGTGAAATAGAAGCTTGAACGTAACTCCTCATTGATAACCTTGAATGCCATAATTCTCTGTAACTTTCATAGGCTAATAAACACTCATGTAACAGCTGAAACTCCTTCTTCAGCATTTAAGTCTTTGGGTCTAAGGTTTACTATAAATAGCCATATCATTTCCTTTGTAAAGGCATCAAATTAGAGAATAAATCGCAACTTTGTTCGGAGAGTAGTTTCTGTGCCAATTTGAGATTATAGAGGGATTGAGGTAGGGTTTAGATTTGAATTTAGGTCAAATTTAAATTCACACATTTTTAATTGCTCAAACAATGAATTTGGCACCCAAATAGAAATCCACACATTTTTAATTATCCAAACAATGCATGTGTCACAAATTTAAATCCAAATCTATATGCATCCAAACATAACATTACATAATTCATTCTCTAACTTGTATTCATCTGCATCTATCCAGTAATATGCTATGTTAAAAATTATATCTGATATATCAAGTTTACTTTTATGTAAAAGAAAATCACATGCTTCTGCGATTGCCAATTTGGCAACCCTGCACCACACCGCATATCATTCTACATAATTTTAAATCTTCATAGATTCACCCGACATAACTGAACAATTGAAACCAAGTGGGCATAAAAGTTTTTTATGCGTTTATTACTAGATTAAAGCTTTATGATAATTGTGTCATACTTAAAATTCTCTCTCTGTTTTTTTTAATTTGAATAACAGATTAGACATTATGCACCATTCATAGTCGTAGAAACAAATGGAGACAAGCTATGGGGCTCTACTGGCTTTAATAATGTTGCTGGGTTAGATTTGATATTTCAAATGCAACTTCTTAATTGCTCTTATAAAATGAACTTCAAGCATTGATCAGTCTCTGTTTTTCAGATATATATTTGGAAAAAATTCAACAGCAGAGAAGATACCGATGACTACTCCAGTCTTCACTCAAGCCATGGATGCTGAATTATCCAAAGTGTCGATCCAAATAGTTCTTCCATTAGACAAAGAAATAAATAGGTATTTCCCCCTAGTCTGATGAATTTAAAAAACTGGTTCAGGTGATGTGTATACTTATATCTTACCTCATAGAAAGAATGAAGTTCTAAAGACTGCAGTGCAATTTAAAAACTTGAGCTTTATATTCATCTTTGATCAGTTTACCAAATCCTATTGAAGAAGCAATCAACTTGAGAAAAGTCGAAGGAGGCATAGCGGCTGTTGTAAAGTTTAGTGGAAAACCTACAGAGGAGCATGTTTGTGAAAAGGAAAAAGTACTTCGCTCTAATATCATTAGAGATGGTCTTAATCCTAAGTTGGGTTGTTTGCTAGCACGCTACAATGATCCTGGCCGGACACTAAGCTTTGTAATGGTATGCTATGCATTCTTGTTATGATTGTGATTGGCTGTTTATCTGTTGTCTTTATTTGATTTCTGTTATGGTGCTTTCTCTACTTTTTAGCTTACAATAAACTACATTCACAGGCTAAACTACTTTTTGTTTTGTATTGAATCTCAGAATTCGGAATGTATTATAGATTAAGTGAAGGATAACAGAAAAACAACATAATATTGTTTTAGATCTATGCAATACAATATAATCAACTGGAAATTAACTTGGGGCTTTATTGCTTCACTTTGTTCCTCTCGTTTTGCTGTAAATTTGTAACATTGTTTTAATACTACATGATAATGGGTCCAGATCTTGTACTATATATTTTACTGCATGTTGTGCTGCAGAAAAAAGGTAGAGAGAACAAATTGGGATGCATGCAAATGAATGAAATGAGCTCTAAATTCTCCTATTTTTTAATATTACTCTCCCCTACGCTATTACAAACCACTGTAGAGGATCCAAGTTTGGTGATAATTCATTGTGTCTGCTAAAACTGTTTGTGCCCTGTCCTTCCTACTAATCCAAGGTTTAGTATGATATCACAGTAAGACTTATTATGCAAATCAGCCTCGGCTTGAAAGTCTTTTTTGCTTTAACTCTTCTGCCAAATGCTTTTAACATGTCAATGGTGTATGATTAATGGTTTAATTGCTTATCTTGTGATAATTGGCATGCCACTTTTGGTATTTGTAATCTTACGTACTGACAATAGCATTGTTTGTTTTGTGGTTCATGTCATTGAAGAGGAATGAAGTACTTATATGGCTAGAGGAGTTTTCATTGGATTAGCATTAGTGCTGTAATCACAGGTTATTCTTCATTGTCATTTGGCTCTGCAAATTCTCTCTTAGTATTGGCATTTTAAATATGTTTGATTAATTTTACAAAGAAATGATTATGCTTGAGGGAGTTAGAAGGAAGGGTGGTGGGACCCACAATGATACACCCCACTGCGCTTGTCTCTGCCCCTCCCCGCCTTCCTTTCTCTCCTTTCTCTCTTTGTGATGTGATGTTTTCCAGAATTAGGAAAGTTTGTGGGAAAGTCCAAAAGGGAAACGAGAACATTAATGCGCATAAATTGAGTAGAAGAGATACTTGTGGTTGATGGATGTTCATTGGTTTCTCTTTAAGTTGTAAAATAAGAGTTGATGTTAATTGTAACTACTAGGACTTTTTTCCTTTATGTTTTGCCATGACGTGCAAAATAGAATTGAATTGAAAATAAAATGGAATGTTAATTGTAGTGCTCCTCTCTGTTCGTAATATGCAAGTCATATTCCAAAAGGTTTATATGGTTTTATTAAATGCAAGTGTCTTTGCAAAAAGCAATAGCTTTAATTTTTTTTTCTTTTGATGCCTTTTATTAACTGTACTGTAGATTTTAGGTAGAGAGATTTTGTGTGAAAGAAATTAAAAGGTAATTGGGATATGTTGATTTTTATTAGATGATAATCTTAAAAAGAAGTTATTTATTTTGACGAATCTTGAGGATCCAAGCGACGTTAGAGTACTTTTTTCTTGAGTACTGTTTAAAATTCTCGTAAAATAATGAAAAGTGATTTATATTGAGAATTGAAGGAAATACTTTTTTTTTTTTTTGAGAAATATGTTTTACATATCTAAATAAAAAATATGCTTGCAGTTCTTATTGAGTGATGATTACTACAAGCATAATATCTATTGCCTGCATCAAAATTTTGTTAACGCAAATCAAAATCAGAAAATTACAAATAAATTACAAGAAATTTATTTACAAGTAAATATTGTGTATTTGTGAAAATATTTTCATTTTTCATGAGACTTAGTGGTAAATGATACAAATATTTTTGGATTTTAAAAAATATTTTTTAAAGAAATTTTTTATTAAAATATTAATAATTTAATGTTAATATTTACAAGTCAAATATCACAAATTAACAAGTAAATATTCAAGATTTACATATAAAGTTTACATTTACAAATTAATCTCTTATATTATTAATACTTATTTATAAATTAAATTTTGCAAATTTACAATTTAGACTTCTTAAATTTAAAAGTTGTTTAAAAATAAAAAAAATTCAAATTATGATATAATCTCTTACATTTATAAGTCAAATTTGTAGATTTAGAAATAAATTTTCATAATTTTTGCATTGGTTCTTTAAATTTTACAAATTGGTTTGTAAAATTTTCAACTCATTTTATTAAGTTTACAAATAAACTCAGCGTTTTATTCCCTTATTCAATTGTAAATTTCTAAGTTTAGCTTATAAATTAAAAGATGCCTTATAAATTAAAAAGTGGTCTTGTAAATTAGATTGTAAAATTAGAAGAACAATTGCAAAGATTTTATAAATTCACATTTAATTTTGCCATGTTGACTTTAAATTTGTAATATTGACTTGTCAATGAGGTATTAATTTTTTTTTGGAAATTTACTTATAAATTAATATGTTTACTTTGTAAATATATGAAGTTTAATTTGTAAATCTGTGAAGATAACTTGTAAATATTAACTTGTTAATATTATAAAAAACGGACTTATAAATATAAAAAATTTGAATGGTAACTTTTAAATTTTCAATGCAAACTTATAAATATTAAAACATGAATAATAAAAAAAATTTTTTTTTTCAAAAAAAATTACTTTTCGATGTCAACACAGCCTCATGGCATCAATGGCTATTGGACATCAATACAATCAAATCTCATTAAACTTGAGAGTATTTTTTCACAAAATTTATGGTACTTATTTGAAATAAAAAAGAAAAATGCTTATACGAGATCTATTTGCAATCAATATCAATAATCTTTCTCACTAAAACAGCACTGCTAAGCCGATGCAAAAACTGATGGCTATAGACACAAATTATTGTTTATGAAGCTATTTTTGAGTTTTGGTTTCGTGAGATATATATCATGGCTTGGCATTGGGCTCCATGCTTGCTAATTTTAACATGGCATTTTCTCTTTTTATAAAATGGGCTTGGCATTGGGTTTCATGCTCGTTAGGTCTGATATGCCATTTTCTCATTTAAAGAAACTAATACTAACTCTCCCGTGTATTGCATGGGAAGCATTTTATACAAATATAATTATACAAACATGAATGATTACTAACTTCATAGTCTTCATAAAAAAAAAAAAAATCACTCAAGGAAATATGCAGCACATAATGAGGATGTTGAATATAGATAGATATGCATCTCAAATGTTAATGCTGATCACAACTAATGGTAGGTCAAAGGACAGGATGTTGCACTCTAATCTTTAGAGTATAAATAATACTATGCACAAATTTGCTTGTGATCTAATTACACTACCTAGCCTGATTCATTAAATCACTACTATTCTATTTATTTTTGTTACAAATCCTTTTAACTCACCCTCCTTTTACTTTTTAATTTCTTTCCATCCTCCTTTCAATATGTGAGAAAATACCTTTCACTGCACTAATATATTTAAAGGTGAAAATGCTCTAATAAAACTAATCAACATATAGCATAGCTGTAGTGATTAGCATTTGCACTTATATTCAATCATAGATTATATTTTACAAATGAATGTTACGAAAAATTACAATAATCATTGACTCCCTAGTGCAATGCATGAGAAGAATCAATTTCAAAAAATTACATCACATAAGTATTTGTAATATTATTCATTAAATATAAACAAAACTAACGACCACATAATCATATTGTTCATGCCACATGGGATAACATTAGTTGTTTCAGATAACTAAAAAAGCAACATATAATGGTCTACATGTAAATAAAAGTTTGGATAAGTAAGATTTAATTGAAGTGAATTGATTGTATTTCATAAGTTTGTCTTTATTTGTCTTTTGTTTTGTTCTGAACTTCTTTTCACTATTAATTACAATCAATTTATTCTTCCCGCACATTGCACAGGACGCCCATACTTCATAGTTGCTACAAGGAAGCAATAATTTTATAATCAATCATTTATATTAATTAAAATATGAAATTATTACATTAGATTTGCCTCTATGCTTGTATAAATCATATGACCAAAATAACAGTGTTGTGATAAAATAGGCAGGCAATTTATACAAAGACAGTTTTTTTTTTATTATGATGTTGAAGATGTGACTAAAAAATGTTCGTGCTTGTGAAAATAGGAAAACAATTAACAATGTTTGTTCATTCCCTTGCTTGAAAATTTTTAAAAATTTTGAAATCAAATTCTTAACTGTAGCTTTTTAGCGAAGTAAATAGAGAAAAAACATGTCCATCTTAAATAGTTGAAATAGATAAAATAGCAAGTAGATAAAACAACACTATCTCTAAAGAAGTCATTATTAGTGATTTTGAAAGTTTTATTAACTGATTATATTAAAAAGAACAAAAAATTTATAAATATTTCGCTTAGCAAAATTATTCCAAAAATATTGAACCTGGTGCAAATTTAATTATTATTTCATCTAGAAATTCCAATTTTTATTTTATTAATGTCAATGTAACAATAAGTCTTTTCTTCGAGGTGTGATTATGTCTGCACTAGTTTGACTGTTTTTTTTAATTAATACAAGTTTTAGCATTTACTGCACTTGCCTTGTACGCAATTAGTTTTACGACTAAATATTATAAAAAAATTATAACAATCATCATCAACCAACAGACATCTAAATCATATTATTATACTTACAATATCGGTAGAGATGAACAAAATTTTACAAGAAAAAATGATAATTAAGGATCCTCTAAAACATTAATTCAATTAAGGACCATAACATTTTGAAATTCAGTTAAGGACCATGGTCTTTAATTGGGATAAAAAAATATAGTTTGTAAAATGGGATTCACTAACACCACGTGGGAATTTCATTAATCTAACTTGAGAAAATTACTAATATATATTGTGAAAATATGAAACCCTACTTGAAAATCAATTATTTAACAAAAAGCACCACTTAAGAATTCATTAACCTGATTTAAAAATTTTTTTAACGTATATTGTGAAAGCATGAAATTCTACTTAATAATTGATTGTTTAACGAAAAATGTCACTTGAAAATTCACTAACTAGACTTGAAAAATTTCTAATGTATATTATAGAAAAATGAAACCCCACTTGAGAAATAATTGTTTAACAAAAAGTGACATGTCCATAAACAATTGATTCTCAAGTAAGTTTCATGCTTTCATAATATATATTACAAATTTTTTTAAGTCGGGTTAATGAATTCTCAAGTGACACTTTTTGTTAAATAATTGATTTCTAAGTGAGGTTTTATATTTTCACAATATACATTAGCAATTTTCTCAAATTGGGTTAGTGAATCTTCAAGTGGCATTATGAATCCCACATCACAAACTATAGTTTTTTTTATCCCAATTAAGGATCATGGTCCTTAACTGAGATTTCAAAATGTTATGGTCTTTAATTGAGATTAATATTTTTAGAAAGTCCGTAATTGTCATTTTCCTTTTTTAAAAAGAGCTTCTCTCAATGGAAAAAGGGAAAATTACAAAAGTTTATCAATAAAGAAATGTTACATGAAAAAAATCTAGCCATAAGTTATTAAACTAATAAAAAATTTCTTATCAGTATAGTAGTTCCTTTAGGCCTGAGAAGATGAAGGGAACTTATACTATTACAAAAATGTAAATATAAGACACCATGAAAAATGACGGTCAAATAAAAACACATCATATATGAGAGAGGTGGGTAATGATCAGAAAATAAATAATGCGTATTTAAACACCTATCATTTATTGTCAAACTTTAAATGATGAGTATTTAAAAAATTCATCATTTATTTCAACCCAACGTTTCATTTATTGGAAGGAAAAAACTAAAAAATAAAATTAAACTTTAAATGACAGGTATTTTAAATACCAGTCATTTAAAATATAAATAATATATGACGGATATCCAAACAACTATCATATATTGTGGCTCACCGTTTCAGTTTCTTATAATAAAAAAAATTTTAAAACTTTAAATGACGGTTGTTTCAAACACCCGTCATTTAAAGTCTGAACAATATATGACGGGTGTTTTAAACACCCATCATATATTGTGGCCAACATTTCAATTTCTTAAAAGAAAAAAAAATAAAAAAAATTTAAACTTTAAATGATAGTTTTTTAAAACAACCATCATTTAAAGTGCTCAAGATATATGACAGGTGTTTTAAACACCCGTCATATTCCCTTTTTTATTCAGTTTTTGGTCTCATTTTTCATTCCCACCTATTGTCTTCTCAGTATTATCTCTTCTCCACTTGCACAC